GATTCGTTCTCGCAGCCATCGTTGATTTTTTTCTTCCGTCTTTGCTCTACTCCCTTTAGTCACCGAGTCCCTTTGCTTGTTCAGCGTCTTTTTGCCGTCAGCCCTCTTCCGTCACTTCAGTGCAGGGTCTCGCCCCTCTCAGTGGACAGGCTACAGGCCCAACTCCTTGACTCAGAATTCAAGGGTGGCTGCCCTCGGCTCCTGGCCTCCTCCGCGCTTCTTCTACTTCTCTCCAACTGATGAACTAGTTCCCTGAACACATCACGCCCTTTTCCCACCTGGCCCCTGATAACTCCTTTCTGGGATGTACCTTCCACTGCACGTGGGAGGTCGGGTCCCCTCCTACTGCCCGTTCTGATCAGTCCATTACGCAGTGACCATCTGTCTTTTTAGCACCTGTGACGATAAGTGTTGCATTTCTCGTATCTCGCTGAGCACGGGCCGCCTGCCTTGCATCGCAGCCCAGCTCTTCCCGGTTCTGATCTGCTGCTCCAGGGTGTGCAGGGGTGGGGCCTAGACCCCACACGAACATCTGGAACACTGCTGTACACGCGAAAGTGCAGGTTCCCGTGCCCCCTGTGCATGTGTGAGTGTTGAAGTGTTAGTGGTAACTGTCATAAATCTCTCACATTGAACTCACTGAGTTAAGATCTCCCATTAATCCCCCAAACCTTCTTATTGGGAGCCCCACTTCACTGGAAAAGGACCGCATGCATTCACAGATTGCAGGGTGGGGAGTGGGGGGGGTGCGGGGCATTATTTGTAAGGATGGACACAACTCCTCAAGCCTGTCAGTAAGCCCTGTGCAAACTGGCTTGGCCTTTTTCCTGTCGAGAGGTACAGTTTATTTCTCTACTCTCTGAATCTTAGCTGACTTGTGTCTTACTTTGACCAAAGAATGTAGCTAAAAGTAGCATATCACCGTGCCTGAAGGCGATCTTGGGAATCTACCTCCTCCCCCCAGAGAGGGTCCCTTCTGACACAAAGCCTTTGACCCATCAGCTGCTGTGTGGTCCCACTGCGTGCACACTGGAGAGGAGGTCTGTTTGAGGTGCTTCTTGAACTGCAGTCAGTGCATTCTTCAAGTTTATATTTCTATTGAAATGGTCTTAAAAGTAGATAAGAAACTGTGATGATTTACACGCCTTAATACATTAACTCTGTTTTGTCTCTTACAATTTCCTGAACATAATCCAAAGCTAACATTGCTTTTTAAAATGCTAATATTTTCACAAGCCTAAGTTTTAAAAAACCTTGTGTTCTTGGTTTGCAAACAGCTGAAATTGCCTCTCCCTCTGTCTCCTACCCATTGTGTGGAAACAAGCTCTGTATTTGCCAAATAGCAAAACAGTCTTCACTTGACACTGTGTATTTCACTTCCGAGCTCCTGCTGCAGCCCCGTGACATTTTCTTGCATGGAGAATGACAATGGCGTCCAGAAGTATAGGTGTTATTTTGCCCCCCAAATGCATGAAGTTATAAAATGAAACTTCATTTCAGACAGAATGATGTTTGCTTTTATAAAAGTGGGGCTTTTTTTATGGTTCTGGGGCTGTACGAAATAAACTCATAAACAAAATAGAAACAGACTCACAGAGAACAGGCTGACAGCTGTGGGGAGAGGTTGGGGGGCTGGTGGAAAAGGTGAAGGGATTAAGCAAAGAAGAAAAATTCATGGTTACCGGAGGGGAAGAGGGGTGGGGGGGAGTGGAAGAGTGTGAAGGGGACAAATGACGATGGAAGGAGACTGGATTTGGGGTGGTGGACCCACAATGCAGTGTACAGGTAATGTGTTATAGAACTGTACCCCTGAAACCTATATAATTATATTAACCAATGTCACCCCAACAAGTTCAATAACATTTTTTTAAATGAAAATAAAACCTAATAGCTGTAGCAGGTCAGCTTGAAAGATGTGGAGTTTACCTTTAAGTTGGACAAAACAGCTTACAACAGATTTGGAAACTGTGCCAGTGTAATTGTGTTTAAATGATTCTTGAATTCGTTTTTGTTTTTTTAAGAGGTAGCTTTCCCCTTTAAATATGTATTCAGTAGAACAGAGTTGTTCAAATTCTAGGAGACGCATAGGAGCATCGGATTTGTGCACAGCGCAGACTCAGCCTGTTCATGGGCTTTTGCTCCTAACGACCGACTGAATGTGTTGTGTCTCCTTTTTCTGGCTGAGAGGAAGCCTCCCGTTTCCTAGGCATTTTACTCAGTGATATGTTCCCAGTGCATTTCACCTGGTACTATTTCTCAGACCACAAGAATACCTGCGGCAGACATACTGAGGAGCTCATATCAATTGCCGGAAAAGTACATGGTAATTTGGATAGAAAATAATGTAAGAGCTTTAAGAACAGAATATAATTAAATTAGTGCCTGGTGTAAAAATAGTGAAAGGGTTTATTTTTAGTTTTTAATGACTCAGATCAGTGTGATGAAAATATGTAAATTAAATGACAACATTCACTTCAGTGATCTCCGGGACTTCAGCTGGTCTCGGATGTTCATTCTGAGAATTCCATTTTCTTCTGCTCTCCCCTGCTTTTAAGTAAACACAGCGTTACAGGGTTTTGAATTTGATAAAATAGGGAATACATGGCTGCAGTCTTAGATTAGAAACCTGGAGATTCAGGACTTTTATTTTATTTTTCCCCTTCTTTTTAATATTTTATACAAGATAAATGCTAAAATATTCAACAGTTCAACAACTATATTAAAAATGTTTAATGTTTAAAAGTTATTTTTAAATGAAATTTTAAAATACACAAGGAGCATATTGCTGTCTTTCATAGACTTAATCTTTGTTTTATTGCAAATATTACAGACAAAATATTTAATATTCTTTGACATTGGTCGAATTGTTAGAAGTGCATGCAAAATATCTTTTAGTTGGTCATTAAGATACACATTGCTTTAGATACACGCATTTCCTTTTTCTTTTTTGTTAACAAGCAAGCAAGATATAACCAAAGACACTGAAATAGAGAACAGGTTGACAGTGACCAGAGGGGAGGGGGAGGGAATTTCAGGGGCAAAGGGGAAGGGTTTGCAGGAACTAGTATAAAGGACACGGGGACAAAAACTAAGGGGGGTGGAAATGGGAGGGAGGTGGGGAGCAGTGGGGGCGTGGGCTGGGATGGGAGTAAAAGACAGAAAACTGTATTTGAACAACAATTAAAATAAATAAGTTTTGCCCTGGCTGGTGTAGCTCAGTGGTTTGAGCGCAGGCCTGCGAACCAGAGGATTGCGGTTTGATTCCCAGTCAGGTCATATGCCTGGGTTGTAGGCCAGTTCCCAGTGGGTGACCCATGAGATGCAACCATACACTGATATTTCTCTCCCTCTCTCCTTCCCCTCTAAAGACAAATAAATTAAAAAAATCTTTTAAAATTTTTTAAAAAAGAGAGAGATTCAGGACTTTTACATTGAACAGGCACGCACTCATGTATCCATTCAGGAAATGTTATTGAGCACCTACTGTGTGCCTTGTATCTTTCTGGATGCTAGGGGCAGAGCCAAGAACAAAGCCAACAAGGTCCCTGCTGCCAAGGTCACAGTTCCGTTGTGAGAAGGCAGACAGTGACTGAGCAAACAGGCTAACTTCCAAGAGAGGCAAGGAGGGTAACCAGGTAAATGACGGAATGAGTGGACGGGCGGTTTTAGATGGGGGGATTAACATTTTGAGGGACATTTGAATAAGACCTAAATGATGAAAAGCTGCCTACCACCTGGCAGAAGAACCACCCAGAATGAGGAAAAGCAGTTGAAAGGCCCCGAATCAGATATGAGCGTGCCAGGATTGAGGAGCAAAAGGAAAGGCAGGATTGTAATGAGCAAGAGGAAGAGCTGAGGTGGGATTTTAAAGGTAGGCAGGGGTGTGATGATGCGTCGTTATTCATGGAGGCCCACCTGTATTATATTTATTATATTACTGTTATATTTTCTATATTTTGGTATAGTATATATTTTATATCACTTGTATACTTATATTGTATTAATATTATTTGTGTAACTCTCTATAAGGTTGCAAACCTTGTAAAAAGTAAGGTGAAGTTTAAAGAAAGGCATTAGAGTCCTCAAGACGTGTAGGTTTTTGGGCCACTCCCAGTGTCCACAGTCATGCCAGTGGCCAGTACCCTTGTTGGATCCCACCATCTTCCCTTGTTTGCTTCTAATTATCAGTTAAATGCAGCCCAACGGATTTTTTCCTGAGTCCGCACTGGGCCCAGGAACCTGGCGAGTCCGCAGGGCCGTTCTAGACAAAGGCGGCAGAAAGTGGGGCAGACTCCCATCAGAAAGCCGCTCTGCCGGGCTGGAGCTACTGTTTCAATCAGGGCTCAGCGCCCTTTGCTAACATCTTGTTTGCCCTTGTGCTACAGAGAGTAAAATGGTTTTAAGGACCAAACACAGAGTCTGAAGGCCAGTGAGTGTCAGTGTGATGTAGTCTTCAGTTGTTCCTCTTCGTGGGGGTCGCAAGGCATGAAGAAGTGACTTGGAGGTCTGTGTGTGCGTCAGGTCCAAGGGGTTTATCGTCTGAATACTCTCTTCTGGAAGAAGGAAGTTGTTAAACATTAGCAATTTACTAAAATATGTGAAAGTTTAAAAATACATATTTTTAAGTGAAGCAGTACCAACTGTTCTATGATTACAGTCATGTTTCAGGTGCCTGGTTTGGACAAGGGAATCAGTAAACAATACAGACTGTGTTTCTAAAGACCACACATAGTGATAATATACTGACTTAAAATTTCCACTGCATTTAAACTTTCTAGGATTTATAAGACACTGGAATGCATTACTACGAGCGCTTGTTGAATCTTCCTTCAGAGGTAATTAATAGAAAAGATGGTGTTATTTTTTAAAAAGGCAGTAGTTTAGGTTTTATTCTGGCAAGAGTAAGTTCTAAAAGCCTTTCCCTGGTTTGCTGCTGGAAATTCCACTTGGATGCTTGTTTTGCCTTATTCATCCTAATTCTCCCTGCTTCTGTGGTTTAGTAGCTTTTCCTCCTGTTCAGAAGAAAACCAAGCCAGTGCTACCTTAGCATCTACCTGCAGGCGCGGCCAGTGCCTCTTCCTCCGGCCCCCGTTCCCCGGGGGTGTGGACAGAGCTGACGGGGCCTGATGGTGACGGCCACTGCTCTCATGGCTTCGTCAGCTCTGCTGTTTCTCTTGTGGAGGTGGGTTGTGGTATGTTAGTGTGTGTATGTGAAGTATTCGAGGCAGGAAAAGAAATCCATACAGGCTCCTCCCAGGTGGAGAAACAAAGAAGCCCATTGCGAACAGGGCTGAATCGCCCCGGGCAGCCCTGCCTGCGGGCCTTTGCCCTTCCTCTGCCCCAGAGGGAGTCACTAGCTCGAATTTCTCCAATCACTCACGCGTGTCTTTATGTTTTATGACACAGATTTATGTTTGTTAAATAATATATCGCTTTGTATTGTATATTTTTAAACCTCACAGAACTGCAAATCGCTTTTTCTCCTATCACTCTGTGTTTTAAGACAGCCCTGTTAATAATACACGTATCTTTCCCTGCTGGAGAGTGTTCTGTCGGGGGCTCAGGGGGGCACGGTATCTAGCACCCTCTTTTCGCATCTAGAATAAATTGAGACATAGATCCGAGGCGTGTTAGAGATCACTGGATAAAAATACCAGCTGTGTTTGTGCGGTGGCTCTCTGGAGGGGCGGGCTTGCTAGAACGCAGCCAGAACTGCATAGGTTTACCCTTCCAGTCCCAGGTCATGTTGTAGCTTGGGACCCCCCCGCTGCCACCATGAGGGCCGCCGTGTGGCGTGGTGGGGCGGAGTGTGCAGAGGAGGGGGTCGGCATGCCAGTTAGATGAGGCACCTGTGACTGGGGCTACTGGAGGGAGGCTGGGAATGTTACTCCAGAAGGGGTTCCTCTGCATGGAAACATAGACAAGGAAAAGGAAGGTTTTTCCCAGAACATCTTTTTCCATTATGTGAACATCCTGTAATTTAAATATTCATTCTCCCATGGATGGACCGCTCTGCTGTTATTGCAGGTGGGGCTGCAGTGGACGTGCAGGTCCCCCACTGGGAGGGCTCCGGCAGGGCCCAGACACCCGGGCGCCGGACCTCAGGCTCCTGGCTCTGCACGGCTGCAGCCGGACTGGCCTCTGAGTCCTTCACCTTCTCCCTTGTCGGTGATTAGTTCCTTGCTGTCCTGTTCTCATCAACACTTGGGGTTAAACTCCAGTTTTTGCCAATCTGCTGGGTGTGAAATGGCATCTTATTATAGTTTTAATTTCTCTGATGACTAGTAAAGTCTGGCATCATGTGTTAGCCATTTGGTTATTCATGTTATTGGCCCACATAAAAATATTGAGTTATTTTATATTGGTTTATAGGGGTTCTTTACATACTCTGGATACTAATTCTTTCTCTTGTATGAGCCACACAAATCTTTACCTCTTAGTGGCTTGTCTTTTTCTTTTTTTAAAATGGGGTACTTTTTAATAAAAATCTGGTACGCACACCTGATTTGGGCATCTCATTTGGCATTATATACTTGTATGTGTATATTTCCCCTCACCCCAAGAATAGAGGAGACTTCAAAAAAGAGAAAATGTAAGACTCTTTGACGAGTGCAAAGTCTAACCTTATGGAGAGAATGTGTAAAGTATCACTTGAGCAGACTAGTAGGTCCTCTTTTGTGACTTTTCTGTCTGTTGGAATGTTAATATTACCTTTGAACTACTACTGTATTATGTTAGGCAGTTCGAACAATATTTCTGCAAGATTTACCTTCTCAAATTCTTTGATGCGATAGAATTTAATGCTTAATCTCCGAATCCTAATGCTTAAATTACGAGGTTTTGCCTCCGTGTAGTGACGTGAAAAGGCTGCGCCACAGAACACTTCTGACCCACCTGAAGTCAGACTTATCTCCCACCTGGAAACTCTCCTATGCCTGACAAAACTTTGCATTTTAACTCATCACAGGGTGGCGCTGTACTGATGCTCCATTCTCTGCTCAGAGCTGCGGACACTGTTATCATCGAAAGGCCCTCGAGTCCTAAATTATGTGTGTGAGAAAATAGCATCATGATTTCACTAATTATTGATGAGAATAGTACATTACAGGGGTATGGACTTTTACCCCCCAAAAAACCAAGATCCTTAGACAGCACTTGGTACAGTCTCTTATTTTACACGTGTGAGGTTAAGTGACCTACCCAGGGATCACACACCTGGGCGGACACAGATCAAGAGTGAGATCCGGGTCTCAGCCTTGTCACCGTGTGCTTTGTGCTGCCACAGTGTCTTAGTCCATTTGGGCCTCTGTAACGGAGACCCGCAGGCTCCGTGGCTGGAGCAGCAGGAATTGATTTCTCACATATCGGGAGGCTGGAAAGTCTAAGAGCCCAGAGGGCGTGTTCAGTGAGGGCCCGCTCCCTGGTACGTGGACAGCCCTCATCTCGCTGTGTTCTCACCTTGAGGAGGAGGCGGAGGAGGAGCTCTCTGGGCTCCACTTTATGAATAAGGGCACTGAGCACCCCCAGAGGCTCCCCCTCCAAGTCCTATCACATAGTAGGTTCAACATAGGAGTTTAGGGGGAACACAAACATTCAGTCTAAGGCCATGGATTATAGGTCATGGCGTTATTCTGTTTGTCTAATGGTGTATATTTTTACAGCTAGATATCTTTGACTGAGAAGTTTCAGTATTCTGGGCTTTTCGTCGCTGGAAGCTTTTTAGATATTTATTTTAATACTGAAGGAACTGTTTATTGTGCTTCCTTAAATTAGCTTTATGGAAGTGATGTACCCCATTTTCCTTCCTTATTCTCTACTGATGTTTACGTGCTAGTTTTTCCTGTAGGTTTTATAGATAAATTAAATGGTATGATAAATTATTCCAAAATGGCATATTAACAGTTTACATAAATTAAAACTATGCTATGATAGTTTGAGTCAGATGGGAAAAACATGTAAATTTGTAAATGTGTGTAGTTAATTTTTTAAATAGTTTTTTTTCATTCATGGCTATTGTTTATTTAAGTCAATGTTTTTAACATTACAATGAGTTCATTTAATCCAAGAATTAAAATATGACCACAAACTCATGTAAACCACAAACTCCTCTTTTCTATCTTCCTGCTTTCCTACCTTGGGAGTCACTGTCTGGAGTTAAGTGATTATTATTTTCCTGCTTTAAAAGTACATCCATACATACAAACATACATACAGACATGTATATACACACACATGTTCTTATGTACTTTCCTAATGTATAATCTTCCTCCTTTTAAAACTATGTAAATGACTGCCAAATGTATGTAGTCTTTTGGGACTTACTTTTTTCACTCAATATGTTTCCAGTATTTATCCTTGTTTTGTATATAGCTATAATTCACTCATTTTAAGTGTGTACAGCGTTCCATTTTATGACATTACCGCAACTTATCTATTCTGTTGATAAGCATTTGGTTTTTTTCTCCCCGATTCTGTTTGCTTTTGCTGTTGAGAATAATACTGCCCGAACAGCCTTGTATTCTTACTCCTGGTGCCCAGGTGTAGGTGTCTCTCTTGCTCAGGTACTTAGGAGTAGAATTCCTGGGTTACAATGGAAGCAAATGTTCACGCAGGGCCAAAATGTCTTACTGCCACGTGGCGTTTCCAGTCATTTGTATCAGTTTACACACCCGACGACCTGTGTGGGACAGCCCTGACCCTTGATCCTGGAGCTCTTCTTGCGTGAAGCCACCGAACCAAAGTTCCAGTGCAGGGACGGACCCGCCCATGACCTTGGGGCAAACGTGGCTTTGGGATGCGAACCTCGGCCAGCTCTTTGGGTTTGAGCCACCCAAGAACCGGGCTGGCCACACTCTGTTTTTAACTCACTGCCTTTGAGGTAGTTTTGGTTTAGTGTCTGACCCAGCATTTTTGGTTTTTGTTTTTGTTTTTTCCCAGTGGGTGTATTGATCTGACAATCCAAAAACAGAAAGCCACATTTCTCAAACTTTTCTTTCTAAATTCTCTTTCCCAGGTATTGATTTATTGGGCAGAACAATGGATTTGTTAAGTGTTGGTGAAGACTAGCCATTCGTCAGTAAGCAATGTAGAGAGGACGTAAAATGAGGGATACGTTTCTCAGGGTTAGCGGCTGGCATTTTCACTGTGTCCTGGTGCTGTGTGAAGGATGTGCCCGATCATCTGACCACGGACTGCTCCCTGGAACATCAGTTAGGTGTACGCTAAATATGTATTTTCTTGTGACATAAAGCATATTATCTAGAAATAGTGATATAATTTAACGGACATGCCACCGAATCTCAACTTTTAAATTTCATACATTTTTCTAAAGATTTTATTTATTTATCTTTAGAGGGGAAGGGAAGGAGAGGGGAAGGGAAACATCAATGTATGGTTACCTCTCCTGTGTTCCCTGCTGGGAACTGGCCTGCAACCCAGGCATGTGCCCTGACTAGGAATTGAACCACAATCCTTTGGTTCGCAGGCCTACACTCAATCCACTGAGCTACACCAGCCAGGGCAAATTTCATACAGTTTTTATGAGAAGACACAATGCCATATTTTTTTCTTGTTATCAAAGTACTATATCTAAAAATCACTTTTCCTGAACTTGCCTTCAAGATGTATTTCAGTACATTTTTTGTATATTTATACCTAATATAAAGTAATTAACTGTGTCTGAGTGTGTTGATGTGTCCCCGAGGCCACCACCAGCTTTGATGATTCCACCAGCTTTGATGATTCACCGGAAGGACTCGACCTGTAATTGTACTCATGGCTACGATTTGTTACAGTGAAAGGATACGAAGCCAAATTAGCCAGGGGAGAGCACGCGGCGCGGTCCGCGGAAACCGGGTGCAGACTTCCGAGGGGCCTCTGGCAGCGCAGTCCCTCGGAACGGGCCTGGCTCCCCCCACAGCAAGTTGTCACAACACACGTGAAACGTTGCCAGTCAGGGAAGCTGCTGGAGACGCAGCGCCCAGCGTTTTATGGTGGGACGATCGTGAGGGCGGTCTCTCTGCCCAACCTCCCGGACGTGTGGAAGGAAAGCGTGCACAACATAAAGTGTTGTTGCCCACAGGAGTCCGTTCTGAAGGGTGAACGTTGGTGGGAAACTTCTGGAAGTTCCCAAGTTCCCAGCTGCCAGCCAAGGACTGTCCTTGTAAGCAGGATAGTCGTCCGGCCTGGTATGCGGACTCTTTTCTGCACTTGAAGTTGCGGCTGAAGTTTTTAAAGCACTTCCTGTGTGTCAAGCACCGTTCTTCTTTTATTTCATCCTCACAACAACCGTTTCATGGATGAAGCACTGAGACAGAGAGGTTAAGAGACTTGTCTAAGGCAGCACAGCTAATAATACATAGTAAACCAGGATTCTAACTCAGGCTTCAGAAACTATGACTTATCCAGTGCTTTATTAGTGTTTTTATTTCTTTTTTTTATTTTGTCCTACTTTATGGCTAAGATGTTTCATACATTTCCATAACATTGTGATGTTTCGTGGGTCTTAACTGTCAAGTTTAGGAAACTGTTCTAATTACCAAATACAAACCCTTCCTGATCTCATAGGCCTTTCTCCGCTGCTCCCGGGTCAGCAGGTCTGAGTCGTTCACTTCCATCTTTCCACAGGAGGGTTGCCTGGTCTTTGACCGCAGGTCAGTGCCACTGTCCCTTCTACACCTCCTGTCGGGCTCTTGGCGATGCCACGGCTAGACCTGCAGACAGAGCCGGTGTCACGGCACCTTGGTCTATAAACAGAGACAGGACAGCATCTTCTGTTGTACTTCCTTTCTTGTAGTTCTCGTCACTGTGTTAGCCGTATTGTCTACCCCAGTGTCTCGGGCAGTGACTTAGGGACTGGAATTTAAATGCCTCTTGGATGACCATCTGGGAGGTAGATGGTAACAACAATAATATAGCTGGTAGAGCTGGCCTTTCCGTTAGTGCGTCTCAGATTTCTTTCCCGAAATGAAGAGACCAACTCTTTGCTATATCCCGTCCCAAGAAATCACATTATAGCTTTAAGAGAAGTTTGGGTGTTAACACC